AGATAGGACGGTAGGGACGTGATATTTCACATTTAGGTGTGATCATGTGTGTGAATATATATATATATACATAAGTATATATATATATATATAAGTATATCACAATGCAAAGAAGTTATTCCTGTTAGCTGTCTACATGAACCAGGCAAGGAGTTGATACAGATTCTAGTTCGTTCATTACTTGCTGTCCTTTAGAAAAATTGAAGGATCGTCCAGTATAGATTTCTGGGTGGATTTTATTTGGTTTCTTATAAGAAGCATGATACATAAAGGCCTTTAACACCAGAAGCCACAAGTCCCTCATACACCCTAGCAGCCAATGAAATGAAAAAAAAAACATAAAAAAGACGTACTTCATATGTGTATCAAATGGTTGGGATTTTAAACCCAACTAAAACTACACAATTGAAGACGCTAATGCATTACCACATTAATTTTAAGAACCAAAATCAACCAAAAATTCAAACTTCAGAAAGACTTAGAAATCACAGAGTCTTTCCATAAGCTTCATATATATAAATTTTGTATTAATGTCAAACAGGATAAGTAATTATCACAGCTTTAAAAAAGCAGACAATTTATGAACAAACAGTATACTTTCACCGTCACTGCTAGCAGAAATTCATCAAATATATACACGTATAGCATATAACACAGAATTCAAATCAATTACCAGCAGAGAGAAGAGAAATAACAGAAAAGTTGCAGGAGAGAAACCAAAATTGCAGCTTTAAGCCCAAATCAGAATAAGTCGGATGTCGGAAGCCGGAATCTCTCCCCTGCTCTGGTCCGATTCTGGGCTAGGGTTTCGCAGACCAATATAAATCGAGCCTGATTTGGATAAAAAGAATCGGATCAAATCTAAGCTTTCAGGGTCGATTTCTTTAATTTCAATCGGGTTTGGGTTAGCCCATCGACCTGCACCATGAAGCATTTTGACAAGCCCTTGACTTGTGTCCTTGGTCTTCTATGAAATAGAAGACAAATAATCCAATTTACAGATTAATCCTAATATGTCATTTGTAGATGGTACCGTTAAAAGAAACGAGAAGCCATTTTACCTGTTACCTTATTGCGATTTTTGATGCAATTTTGGTTGCAGGCCAAGTCGCCCTTACACCACTAAGCACATTCACAAATATTATTATCACATGTGATAAGGTTATTGTTGATATGATACCATAATCCATCAAGACTATCACATGTTCTGCTAAATCATAAACGCAGACAACCTTTGGTGCGGCCTAAGTCGTAGAACACGTCGTCCGCACATCACAAGGATCCCCTCACGTGTATTATCACATGTGATAAGAGTGTTCTCGCGTTCTCATAAAATGAAGTTGTTCTCATATAAACCTCCACCTATAAATTAAATAATAACATTTTTCTTTTATAATGTCATCATACATTATGGATATTAATGGTTCATGGTAATTAAATGGGAAACAAGATGGGACTGAAAAAATAAATACAACGAGAAGTGTTATCTTTTGATTTTTATATTGTTGTCTTTGAAATATTATATTATAATAATATTTAAGGGTCGTTTATCAAATGTTTGTCCGGGTAGGTGTTTACCAAGTCATATTACCTTACCTGATGAATATGGTAAGGACCAAGAACTTATCCGGTAAGAGCGAGATAAGAACCAAGAATCTTACCCGGTAAGTGAGGGCGACGACTCTTACCACGGTAAGTGCTTACCGGATAAATACCGTAAATTTATTGCATACGATGTCATTTTGGTGGACTAATTCTTACCTGCTAAGTAAATTGATAGTGTTAATTTTACCGGTAAGCACTTACCGGGTAAGTGTTTGGTAAACGGCCCCTTAAAATAATATTACAATGTTTACTAAGACAAATTACATATAAAATAATTACTATATTTATAACTTTAAGTTCTACTTACATCTTTGAGGTTTAACAATATTATTTGTGGTTCGAAATCTATTACTCGTTTCTTCATCCGTTATTTTTAAATGGGTAGGGTATGGATATGGATAATTACTTGTTTCGTTACCCGCTATTTTAAATGGATATAGTATATATATATACATATATATATAGGCTCATTCAAGGGATAATTGATTAGTTTGTGGTAACTGTGAGATCCAATGTGAACTACTTGTTTGAAATATTTAAGGATAATTCTTAAACAAGTTAAAAGGGTAATATAGTAAATCTATTTTTAACAACTAATCAAACTATTTAATTTATTTTTTAGAATGAAATATTTAATTAAAATTAGTTACCTAGTATATCAATTATCTAATATACATCGTATTTTAAAGACATTTTTGAATTAAAAGTGTATCATAGTGATAACGTTCATCATATTTCACGTGTATCATAATGTATTTTCTTTGTTTTATGAAATGTATTGTAGTGTGCATTTTCGTTATTTTCATTGTTTTACAAAGATATCACATTGTGCATCTTGTATGTATATATGGGTATCACAGTGAATATCGTTTGTAATTATCACAATGTGTATATTGTGTTCACATAAGGTTAATCGGAATAATGTTTGCCGAATAAGATTTGCCGGAGAGAGGAAAGAGGAGAGATGAGAGGGTATTTATAAAATCCCTAAAATGTCCTTAATTTATATTTTAAGTTAAGATTACCAAAATTGTTAATTTCCTAATTTAAGCTTTTATTTGTAGTTGAGATTGAATCTCACGGTTACTACAAACAAAACAATTTTATTTGATTAAGCCCCTATATATATATATATATATTTATACATATATATATATATACACACACATATAGGGGTGTCATATTTTATTAACCTTACCTTTTGTGTTAACTATACAATCCAAAATGGTCCAATAGAAATTCATATTGGTTCATTGTTAATAATTTATTATATATTTAATAGGGCAAATTGCATGAAAAAGTAACGTACTTTAACTTGATTCCTATTTTGGATAACGTACTTTTAAAACTTTCATTTTGGTACCTAAGATGTAAAGTTTTAAACATTTAAGTACCCGGGTAACCCGGAAAGACTAATTTTAGACTAAAAAAAATACAAATTTTAGATTTTAAAAAATCCACGTCACTGACCACGTCAGCAAATAATACCGAGTTGGATACCACATCACTCGCCACATCAGCATGATAATCGGTTAATACTTCAACCAGTTACCCGAGTACTTAAATGTTTAAAACTTTACATCTTAGGTACCAAAATGAAAGTTTTGAAAGTACGTTAACCAAAATAGGAATCAAGTTAAAGTACGTTACTTTTTCATGCAATTTGTCCTATTTAATAAGTAGGGGCAAATTAGTAAGAATATGTTTACAAAATATGGGAGTTACATTGTTTCTAAAATTTGGTTATTTTCAAATTGGTATGTGTGTTTAACATATTATGATGGATGTCCTTCACAAATGAAAGTTTTCTTAATCAACATCCAATAGAATTTCAACAACTAAATAATCACCATCTACCCAAGGCTCTTTCTTTGGTATATTCTTTCTAATGGATGGACCATCCGATGTCAACTATATATTGTCAATCAAATTCTCCCTAAATGTTGATGGCGTTCACTCCAAATATATTACTAATCGAGAGTCCACTATGAACAATGAGGACACAACAGAATCCCAACAAATCAGTGGTATATCCAGAATTTTTGTCTAGTGGGGTCACATTTAAGGTAGACTAAAGGCTCGCAAAGTTGTCTGATGTTTTTTTAACCTAATTATAACGTTTCGAGAGATTTTTTTAGTGTTTTTGTCGATTTCGAATAACTTTTTTGGTTTTTTTGATTGATTTCAATAGATTTTTTTTTGTTAGAGTAACGGTTTCGAATTGGGTTGGGGACCCGTGGAAAAATGTAATTGGTGGAAGTGAAAGATAAATCATGTAAAACCTAAATTTTAACCTAGGAATTTTTTTTGACTTTTTGACTGGGGTCCTCCCCCCGCGGCTACTGTGTCCGCCCCTGCAACAAATAATTCAAAGTCAACCGTTTCATAAATTCCATGGTTTTTTAATGCATTGTTTGTAACTGTTGAAATCATTTTTTATTTATTTTTATGTTGTATAATGATATGCAAATGATGTTCTTGAACGATCATGAGTTTCAATATTAATGACGTATTTATTGTTTTTTTGTATATTATTATAAAAAAATGTTACAGTTTCAAACGATTAATTATGAGTATTGTTTTTCATGCTTGATAAATATTCATTTATGTTACACCTTGCCAATGGTGTTCAGATATTCTTAGTAAATTATGTAATAAATGTTATTCTTCGTAATTCTTCCAGAAGTAATGAACAGATATTATGATTTCCATCCTGTTCGTCTTTAACATTTTTGGGAATGACTTCACCAACATGGAAATTGTGCACTAACATGGCAGACGTTAAAAATGTTCATGCATATGTTCACTCATTTGGTTTCATAATTATTAACAATGATCGATGCATTTGCACATGATTAATAACATTCGGGGTGTTCATCAATATGACATTCACTACTTCTATATGTTCACTACTTCCAATTGGTGGACAGTTTGGTATATTCACCAATATGAAGTTACGTTCACATCAACGTCTTGAAAGGTGGCATAATACAACGCATTGAACATACTTCTTGGTAACCAATCGAGCATTATTTGAAGTGTAAACGACTGCAATTGTATTCAACGTTACGGTGTTTATCAATTCTGATGAACCTTATGTTAATCTTTGTAGTATGATGAAGATCAACAGTTATGTTCAATCATAAACATGGAGTATATGTTTTTGTGTGTTCATCAATGTTCATGTATCACAGATGATTCTACGAACTATAAAAGGAATGAACAATTAACGATTTGTAACCAATGTAATTAATTATATTGAAGTTTCGTAGTGAGATATTTCAGTTAGGTAGTGCTCCTTCTCGAATACCAGACTGAGAGTGGGAGATTGACATCCTTTCAATCTTGGCTAAGAGGACTATTCAAATCCTGGTGATTAATTACTAATTTGTAACCGATGTGGACATCTCTCCCAAAAATACCCTTGTTCACCTATGTTTTGATATCCTTCACTTTTAATTAATTACAAATATGCCACAATTGATCTCATCCATAGATTTTAAGAATCAAAGGCCAATAGTGGTTCACAAAGTTAACATCAATCATTGGATTAACAAAAGAACATGCACCTATATATATATATATATGTGTGTGTGTGTGTGTCATGTTCCATAAACTTTTAATCTGACATCATATTTTAGTGGAGCAAAAAAAGAAGGAAAAAGAAATTCAAATATTCTCATTAATTGTTTAACTTCTACATCTTTCCTTGGGATTCCACTAGACACCACAAGATTCTATTTAAGTGCACAAACAACCAACTACACATTGAGTTTGCAGATTATATGTCTCATTCACTTTATATTCTTATTGGATCTCAACGAATCATCTTTTCTTTTATATTCTTATTGATCCTCATTTATTTACTTATCTTAAAATCCTTGATAATTTTCTCTATCATTGATCTTTCATTGACTCTTATGATTACTTCTTCCGCATGAGTCTCTCTTTTTGAATCAAAATAACACATATTTCTTGTTGCGAGCTAAAGAAATTCTTTATAAAAATTTATAAAGTATTAGCATTTCTTGGATTCAATTTTTTACTAATGGATATTAATTTTTTTCCATACTTATCGATGACCAATTTTTCACGTTCGCCCAAGGCCTACAAAATGTCAGGAAATGGGTTGTCCACTACTAAAAAAAGGGTATCACTGACGGATTTTTCTGGCGGAAATTCTGTCGGAAATATTCCCGACGGATCCCAAAAAAGTCAAACAAAGTCAACGTTTATCCATATCCGCTACAGATCCCCCACAAATCCCCCACTGAATTTTTTGAAAAAAAAAATTAAAATTAGTTAAAACCTATTTGTGACGGATTTCTGACGGATTTCTTATTTATTCGAAACCGTCACAAATCCGTCGGAAATCCGTCGCAAAATTTGTCTAATTTATTTACATAAATTAATTAGTGTTAATCCAAAAAAATTTCCGACGGATTTCTGACGGAATTTAATTGTTAATAACAACAAATCAAATTCCGTCGGAAATCCTTCGGAAATTGTTTTAGTTTAACACTAATTAAACCTTATATATATATATATATATATATATATACCTTTGTTAGGAAAAAACATTTTTTAAAATTTCCGATGGATTTCCGACGGAATTTAGTTTTTATTTAATAAAAAATAAATTCCGTCGGAAATCCGTCGGAAATTTTAAGCTTTTTTATAAAAATATATAATATATATTGTTAGAAAAAACCAGATTTTTTAGTAGTGGTCTACCCGTTGCCAGGCCTACTGATATCCAAGCCTTTAGCCTTCTAGGATGTCAGGGTCACCAAATGTAAGAATAATGTGAGTTTATTTGTTACATTTGTCATATATAAATATTATACATTTCAAAAAAATGATTAAAGGGACAAACTCTCTACGTTCATTAACTTGCATACTTGAGTTTGGACGGCAATCAAAATCAAAGAAAAACCAACGTCATCAAATATTATACAAGATTACGTTTGTTCATTCTCTTAAAAGCCTAATAAATTACTTCTTACGTGAAGAAAACAACAAACGTATTCATATCCATTTAAAAAGTACGAGACTTCCATTCGAGTATCCAAAATTAATGAACGTTTATACGAACTTTGTTACATCTACGAAATCTCTCTATTAACAAACCATCATTATCATGTGTTTGTGACCATCTTTAATTTCGGCACGTTATTTTTATTTTCAACTGAAAATTTTTCTATGCAAGGAACCAATAATTAACATCAATACTATTTTAAACAAGGATGGTGCTTGATTGATTTGAGCTTGAGTTCCAAACACCAAAAGTGTCTGAAGATCTCAGGTTCAAATACAAGAAGGAATAAAAATGCTTTTTTGACCACGAAGGTTCAAATGTGGTCACTCTGGGCTACCTGCAAAGCAGGTAGTTGTCCTGAGATTAGTCAGCTCACATAACGGGTTGGATATACAGTCAGTCTCTAATATTGCATATAAAACACTATACAAGTTGAAATATTACAACAGGATTACTTGGTTCAACTTATTTATGTTGAACCTCCTTTAAAATGGCACTTAAAGCAGTGTAAGTACCTACCACTGCAACAAAAGTTCCGATCAGTATAATCACCAGAATCACCATCAATTCTCCCCCAAATCTCTTGAAACCTACAACGATCTTCAAGTAACACAAGCATGGAAACAATATTGACACAGTGATGCTCAAAAACGCACCGATAAACGCCATGACATAGCCAAAAAATGGGACCATCAGTGCCACAAAGACTGTGCTGATCACGAGACATGTTCGAATGAGACAACTCATCACCCTGCTTTCTTGAAAGGGAAACGTTTCTTCTACTGATGTCGCGATTGGTGCCACGACTAACGCGTATTTGGTCACAGGGTTGATCAACGTCGTGTAAATCGCTATCTTTGAACTTATGTTTTTCGTTGGCAGATTTAACGTCACTTGTGACATTATGTTTTCTCCAAACATCAAGTAGCCCAACATCGCCATTGATCCATAGCTGATGGTGCTCAATATGAAGCACACAAGTAGAACCTGCGTTTGTAAATTGATAAGTATCGAGAATTTTAAGGTTTACGCATGGCCGAAGGTCACGAGAGAGAGAGAGAGAGAGAGAGAGAGAGAGAGAGAGAGAGTGTGTGTGTTTTGTTGTAATATAACATATTATATACTTAAAAAACTTAACCCAATTAAACAGGATTGCTTTACCTTGCTGAATTGGGACTTGTCTTTCATGGAATGGCATAGTGTGGGAAACACAGCATGACCACAGTAACAAAAGGTAAACAAACTGATAGCAGTTGGCAACCCATTCCAATTCCAGAGTTCCCCTTTTCCATGGAATCCAATTCCATCAAAAGCACCACCCCACAAGACAGCCAACACAAGAATCACTGATGCCATTACACCACCAGCAGAAACATATGCCAAAGCCCCCAAACTTCTTAGCCAAGTTGTAGGCAATACCACAAAAGCAGTCATCAAAACAAACCCTTGTTTCCCACTAATCTTCATTCCTAAAACGTCAAAACTTTCCTTTGGAAACAACTTGTGTAGATTGTCACCTTCCATAATCAAGAACTCGACCGCCACCAAGAAAAGCTCGAGATACATGAACGTCGAGATCACCATCCTCCCTTTTCTCCCAAACGCCACTTGGCCTATATCCGGGTACGTTCTGATGACGGGATCTGAATCCATACATCTACGGAGAAGTAATCCGGTATAGAAACATAAGACAGCAACAAGTAGTAGTAACAGAAGGCTTAACCAACCACCTTCTGAGAGAGCATATGGGACAGACAGAATCCCAACACCTGAAAAATACAAAAAAAGTATATAACTGTTTTGAGGTTGGAAATATGAGATCATGCATAAAAGTTTAGATGAATCTTTAATGCAAATTTGATGTGGGTATTTACCAGATAAAGTATTTACTCCATTGAAGCAAGTTCTTAGGAAGGTGGTGCCTTTGGTTGGTGGTGGATCATGTGATTGTGGATGCTGGTTTTGGCTCTCCATTCTCTCCACATTGTTGGTGTCCATTTCTGGTTTGGTTGGTACCAAGAAGAATTGTTGGTATATATATATATATATATATATATATATATATATAGTAGAAGTCTAGAAGAAGGTGAGGCTCATTCATAAATAAAAGTTGCTTTAGTTGATTCAAGATTGCATGGAAAGTTGCATTATTTTTTTTATTAACCTATATCCAACCTGTTATGCGAGCCGACTAATCACAAGGCAACCACCTGCTTTGCAGATAGTCCGGAGTCACCGCATTTGAACCTCCGTGGCCACAAGGGGATTTTTATTCCTCCTTGGATTTGAACCTGGGACCTTCTGGTACTTTTGACCTTTGGAGCCAAGCTCAAACCAATCAAACACCACCCTTGTGGTTTGGAAAGTTGCGTTATTGGATTCAAGATTTTGAGGTACATACAAAAAGATGTTCTAATTATACTTGTAATTAACAAAAAGGTACATACATAAGTAACTTACAGACCACGATCGTTACTTAATAGGTACGATGCTCGCCCACTAACATGCTTACGAAACCAAGGTCACCCAAGTCAAAGTGACACGGATCATAGAAACTAATATTATAAGTAAACATGTAACTCCCACTAAACACACCATCAAACTTGTTCTGTAACAACACTAACATGATACTGAATCTTATTTTTTAATTGATTTATCATTTATTATCATACCATCCAATCAAATAGTAATTACGGGTTGTTCTGTTAAAAGGTAGCATTTGAATGGTTCTAAAACCCTCTGAATGATTTTGTATCATGGACCTTTTTTAACCATTCAGCGCCCAAATTTCATTGTAAGCTAAGCAATTACCAAACAATTATAATTCATTTTACACTATATCATGAGAGTCTCTTAATCATTCCGATCACTTAATCATGTTACACCAAACCATTCAGCAACTACCAATAGATGATATATTTAATCTTATTGTAAAAATGCATATATTATTTTAATGGGTGTGTGGGTGGGTGGTAATTTATGGTGATGAAAAAGAGATAGTGAAGATGAATGGATGACCATTTATACCCAAAAGAAAAGCATTATTTATGGTGTACATGTATCCCCCATTAGTAACTTAAATTCCACATATCATTCCACATTTTACTACATGTTTATTGGTTTGTTACAAACACCTTTGCTTTTGGTATGGTGGTGTGCCCCAACCCTTGCTTCCTTTTTTGCCATTCTACATGAATAGCCTCTAAGATTTTGAAACATAACTGAGATTCGACTATGTCATGAAACACTACAACACATGCATGTTATCTGATCCGATTGAAACTAATTGATCCAATCCAATCCAATTGTAATTGGATTGGACTGGATCCAAAATTCAAATATCTAAGTTAGATCGGTCGGTTCTTGAATGGTAACCCAATATATAATAAAGCCGTACAGATCTAATTCAATTACTCATTCAACTACTATCAAATTAATAATTAAGTATATTTTTTACGAATTTAATTGTAGTTGATATTTGTGTGTGCATGGCGTTCTTTTAAAAATTTACAAAACGTATGAATAATTTGTTGAAATGATAGGTTAATTGGTTGAAAATTGGACCAAAATATTGGATAGATTCAATATGATTTTTACAAATAACATCCATTGTTCTATTGATTCAGATCCATCTAAATTCATTTGATATTCACCACAATCTATGATATATATATATATATATATAGATTACTTTATGACTTGGGATCATATGAGACCAAAGGTTTTTCGTGAGACCCGTAAGACCAATTCTCAACCATTGGATTAAATCTACAATCTAAACATTCATAATCACAAAATTGCCACAAGACTTCTCAATAATCACAAAATTGTCACCGTGCAACTTTAGACCATTAGATCATTAGCTTATAAAATTGATCAATGAATATAAATTGGTCTTAATGGTCTGACGAAAAACCCTTGGTCTCATGTGAACTCAACCCTTACTTTATATGTAGTTATATTATATATATATATATATATATATATATATACAAAGATTATTTTATACGCAATCATATTTTGATAATAAAAACAAGATCATGTACACATTGAAAAACCAAAATCAGTAAGAAATAATTCTAATGATGTAATAGACTTGAAACAGATAGTTGTCCTCCAAATCTTCTTTCTTGGCGTTTATCATATTTATGAAATTGTAGAATCAAAGCTTCAACACGAGCATCAACCACGATTTTCCTTAAATATGTGTGTATGAATTTTCTTATTTATGATGAACAATTCTAAAATATTCATCATAAAAATCATTATTTGTGATATTCATCCATCACGATATTCATCATGAATGGTTTAGTTCTCAAAATATTTACGACTCTTGTTAAAGCATGCCTCCATATATAAGGATGGTTTCAAACGAGAATGCCACAATTTTACTACGGTTAATCACATGTGATTAAGGGAAACTTTCATGATTTTGTAACATATATTTCCGATTTCATTTGAGTTTACACACACACATGTGTATACACACACACATATTCACTATATATGTATAATACAAACTAGAATTACACAATATAACACGGGAAGGGGGTAAATATATAAATTTAGTATTAAGGTTGGGTTCTGCCAAGACCGTTCACTTTTCATGAGATCCTCTTAACGTCGTTGGATGACCAAACCTTCACAACAAATCATCGACATCTTTTACAGCAAAAAGCAACAAACCTACACCAGAATCCAAACCTTTCCAACCTTCATGGTGGTTTAGCCTCTAAAGATAGTCTCACAGGTCCATTAATAGATATACAGTTTCATATGATTTCGAGTCTACCATTATACTTGAAAAAACAAATCGAAAATCAGAAATAATACTTTCATATAAAATTCTACATGCAAATATAATTAAGATATGTTGAAAGAGTCAAAAACGACAAATATCCTAAAAATCAATACGTTTGTCGTGTTTGATCGTATTTAAAAGTTAAAAAAGCAGAATATTTTCTATATGTCTTGTCATATATATATATATATATATATATATATATATATATATATATATAATTTGAAGTCCATGTCCATGCAATGTGTTCATTGACATTGCTATGGGTGTCTAAAGCAACTCTCGACTAATATGTCGTTTTCTAAATATTAATTAAGATAACTTGGATATTCATCCCTTTTTATCAAATTGTTATTGTTTATTTATTTACATATTTAAAGAAAATTAATATTATTATAATTTTTTAGTTATATTATCTATACTATATTATAAAGCATTTGATAAAAACTTTTAAAAATCATTTTTTATGCATGAAGTATTGTTTATAGATGTATATTACTTAAAATTTAAGATTACAAGTAAATTGTGTGTATGTACTAATTATTAAAGTTTCATGTTTGAATTCGTGTAATTAACTGCAAATAAACATAATCAAATAGAGAATAAACATTTCATTTTAAATATAAAAAATCTAAAATATAAATATGATAATCATTGAGTTCCAACAAAATAATTAATTATTATTTTTATAAAAAATTATATTATTAAACCAAAAATAAAAAAAAATGAGTTAAAGAAGTACACAAAAAAAAAAAAAATAGGTTGGTACTAATATCAATATCTTTTTTCAATTTTTTATGAATCTTCGTATTTATATTTTATTCAAAACTAAAAACATTAACGTTTTCTCAAAACCACATAAAACCGTATTATAACATCGACTGACACCAAAAAAGAACGAAACACTAAAATCGAGATGTATTTCACTGCATTGTGTTTGTACCCTTCTAGTTTTTTATAAATAGCGATATAACAAATTTTAGTATCTTGAAAATCTTGTTTTAACTATAGCAGATAATTCTTTTTAATCATAGGTGTTCGGACTAGTTTATGTATACTTTAACTAATCTCAGAGGCCCTAAACAACATCTAGGAAAATCTCCAGATGACCTTTGAAAAGAATTCAAAGGTCCAAAATTTTATTGTCAGTTGAATTAATCCTACAAAACTATAAGAGATAAATTTGCATGGGCGGACCTACCATGGTGATTATGGTGGCACGTGCCACCGTATTATTTCTCCGTCAAAGGGTAAAAAAATTTAGGTTCGTGAAAGGTGCAACCGTATTAATCTGTTGTATGCCACCGTATGTATTTTGAAACTACAATGAGAATAAGTTTTATTTGGTAGAGTTGGTTTGTAAGACTTTTATTCCACTCAAGACCCAAATTCTAATCTTGTTAGTGTCATTTTCTTAGTCAAATAGTGCCACCGATTGAAAAAGATTCCATATATTTGTTTCATATAGTCAACCGGTGCCACTGTTTGAAATTTTTTCGCTATAGTTTTTTCTTATAGTTAAATGGTGCCACCGTTTGAAAAAAATTATGGGTCCGTCCCATATAAATTTGGTTGATATAACTATAGACATTTATATATATTATTGATAGGCTTTTATTGAATAATATTATTTTTTTTCTAAAGTAAGATTCTAAGGAACATTAAGACCATTTGTGAATTCCACTAATAAAAAAGGTGTTGCCATTAAGCCCATAACCTTTTTCTTTTTCATTTTCTTACCCTTTTGTTTCATTTTCTTTCACTTTTTCCCCATTTTCTATCATTCATATCCTATCAGGATTACAAAAATATCAAACCTTTTTTATTTTATTTTTTATGTTTTTAAATTTCAAACACATGAGATATCCAATTTCCCTACTTGACGATGTTGAAATGTGCTTGCATTCCATGATTAAAGCATTTGAAAAGATACAACTTTCGTATATTCATGGAAATTTTATCAGATATATATATATATAATCTGTTACTTTTTATGTTTTTAAAAACTTATTACATAAAATGGGTTATTATTTAAAGTGTAACGCCTTTATTTTCATTGAAAGCACATTTCATACTGACTTTATAGTCATCTCAACTGCAAATATAATATTTTGATTAGGGGAAATTGCACCAAAATGGAACCAATTTTCACCTAATTTTTATTTTGGGGAACCAACTTTTAAAATCGTCATTTTGGGGAACCAACTTGC